CCTCAGTAACCTTGTGAGTAGTATCCATTGAGAGCAAAAAAGGATGGAAGGAAGTTGACAGATTCCCGGCCAGGTCTGTGGTCAGGTCTTCCGATCCACTGAACGAAGATCTTCAAAGCAAAATCTCACCCACTGATTTACAATTGCTCAACAAGAATGCCACGAAGGTGACACCCACCTAGCATTAGCAAAACCAGGATAAACAGATGAGTTCAGACGGTTTTTTCCATTTATCAGCGCTCTGGTAAAGTCTACGTACTACTGTTGGGCAGTCAACTTGTCATATAGATAGTATACTGAGTCAAGGTTAGCGTTGTCTATCAGAAAAGGAACCCTAACTTCACAGTGAGCAAAAATGCAATAAAAGAACGGACAAAATGAAGCCGTGCGTAGAACTGGTTGTTCAGGAGCTTTTTTCAGTAGAACGGGTGCAACTCGTCACGGTCCTATCAACCCAACAATCAAGAGTTCCGAATATTTCATCAACATCCTCAGAACGAATGGCACTGAACGCACTGAAATGGGTGGGTAGGCGTATAAAGTTGAAGCCATATTAGCTAGAACAATACCAATCACCCAACCGCTCGCCTAACCGACCGTGAACAAGAGTGAGGTTGAATTCAGTAGGTACTTGAGATCCAGAATACATTATTTGGGAAATCGGTTGTATCCAAACTCTATGGACTGACTAGAACCCCTCAAATGGATGCCTCTGGTAGGCTTGATTCCTAGCTGGCATACTAAGACTAATCAGGAGTAAATCAAACGTTCACATCATCCGTACACCCGAGACCGCATTATATCCAGTCGTCTTTGCTGTGAATCATTTTTCTCCATACGGGCAGTTCGCGTTATCTCTGTTTCTATCAGCGGTCTTTCCTGATTTCTCCCCGTTAGGATCGATTACACTTTCCCGACATAGTCATTAAGATTATTCTGGAATCTTCTTTGTCTGCTTGCGTCATTCCAAAATCCTTGTCCATTTTCAGGCTCATTAGACCTTTTGGGTGCCTACAGTCGACAGGGACATATTGATTAACAGAAACGAGGTGATGGTTGTGATAATGGTTCACGTCTTGTCCAATTTTGCCAGTGTTTGAATTGTAGAACGCAAATCTTAAAAAAATAGACATCTGAGAATCAAAATGATATCTGAAAGCGGATAAGCCGATTTGAATTGCGGGGGCGATCACCAGACCGCACGATCTACACTAAATTTTTGGGAGTGATTCCTTGTTTTAGCGGGTAAGTTGCACTGTCAAACAGCAAGCGTTGCTTCGAGATTTTCAGTATTAATCTGTCCCGTTAGAACATCAAGGTCAACAGGTTCAGATCGCTGAACAATGTACTTTAATTGACCTTTGAATACGCCACGAGTGCATTTTGACGAAAGAGATCAATAAGTGCGTCACTAATGGCGCCAAAAAAAACGTTTTTGAAACTGAACACCACATATGCAAATAACAGTTTCATTTTGTAGTTGCGAGACTCAGCCCATCCCAAATGAAGGTCTCAAACTTATCCACTGGCATAGCAAGAGTTGGCCGGCCACTGTACGTACGCAACAAAATGGACTGTAAGCGTGTACTCGGTAACACATCAGAATTACCAGAGAAGAAAAGAGCTCCTATCAGGGCACGCGCTACGTATGCTCGGCCAACGCCTGTTCTGAACCAATGCTCTCGAAGGATTCGAGCAGTAAGGCCCTAAGTCAGGGACATCGGCGCCTTCCTTGTTGGAGTCTATGTGGCTGGAAACTCTACAGGATGTTACAATGAACCGTTCCCGAGGACCGCTTAGCCAAGGTCTGTCTGCCTCCTACGCTGGGCCCTAGTCAGCGCCTGGACGACCGGCCTACCTGGCCGCTTTTGCAGTTCGCACTCTGTATCGGGTAGAACAACAAGCTGCTTGCTGATGTGTGCAGTGTATCATAAACAAGAATTCAAAATGTAGGCACTGTAATGGTTCGACCGTGGTTCTGTCGAAGAGTGTTACCTTGCTTGCCAAATTCAGAATGATGCAAGCAGAGAGGTGGCGGATCGTTGACCTGTCAGAGGGGTATGGAAGAGTTTACGAAAATTCTGTTGATGAGATTTTCCTTCTAAGTGAGGCTCGCATGACCCCCTTGCGTTTTTGTACTTCCGTTTACGCTTAACAGGTGACTACACCACAAGTATCACGGAGGTTACACATCTGCACGTTTACGTAAAAATGGCGTTTCCCCCAAAATCAAACCACGTGTCTTTAGTATCAAACTCAAATCACTGAATTAGGCATACCAACCTGGAATTGGAAGAAAATTTAAGTCGACTGAGACGCTAAAAGCATTCAAAAAAAACTTTTGATTGAAATTTAAGGGACCCGAGTGTTAAACATGTTTTTTCGATTGCCCCAACATTAGATCTGCAACGATATGACAGGTTTTCATTATCAACCGTCTAACATGAGCCAAGTGGCCATCGAACTATGATACATCTTTCAATTATGAAGCATCTTCGATTTTCTGCCCCCCACGTGACAGTAGTCTAGCTCATCAATAATTGGATGGACCAAGTATTTTGACCGCGCAGTTCGAACGAACTTGATGTGTTAACAACACACCGGTCTTGGATGGAAAAGTGTGCCACGCCACCCTGAAAGACAAGCATGTGCGGCGAATCTGTACAAGCGTGTGGCACACCTTTCAAAGATGGTAATGTGCGCATTTTTGCCGTATAGTTTACATACCGTGAACTACACCTACCGGTCACAAACACGCCACTGAGGGAGAGGATGGACCGCCATGTGGTTCACAACCAGCCAATCATATTGGGACATGCTATTAGCCAATCAGGGACCGACTCTGGTGCCCTAACTAGTGTATTCTGTGATCGGAAAACCCAAACCCGAGAAAAATTGTCGACACTCCCCTAAACATCACAGATCAGGCTCAGAATGGATGAAAAACGGTTCCCACAGAGTACATCGAAAGAGTTAAAACCCTCTTTGAGAATTTAAAACGTGAACCTTTTCTATGTTCTCACTGATGCTGACGCTCAACTACGCTACAAACTGGGTAGTAAAGTGCGGGATTGGTTTACGGATACAGTAAGCAATATGTGCTCCCATGTGTTTATGATGAGGCAATATCAGTTGTGAAAAGCAACCGGAATTCAGTTCAGTAGTGCACACCATATCGGATGACTCCTTGAAAGGCACTACAAATGGTTGCCACCCCGAAATTCATTTCTCACTGGCAGCGGACACTGAGACTCGCGTTGATGATCATACGGCTGGTTAGTACTCGACAGATTCACAAAGAACTCAGCGAAATAGAATTGCTGATGACAAGGCTTCGCATTTCCGGTTGTTTTCATACACGTTTAAAGTTGCTACACTGTTGCATTAGAATGAGATATACGGAAGACATTGGACTACTTGGTACAGATCCTACCCAAATACAAAATCGCCATCTATCTTGCCATGTGTTCTGCATCTTCAGGATGCAAGGTGCTAATAAAAGATTGGACGAGTGTCTCACCAAGACTGATCACATGGTACCAGAACAAATTTATCTATGCGGATGATTGCCTCACATCGGATGACGGACCGAATACTAGAATCCCCGAAGTTCGTTCCACCTACCTTCAGATTAGGTACATCCGTGGTCGACATGACGTTAGCCTGTTGGCAAACGACAAGGTTGAGAATGCGATAGTACGCTCAATGGTACTATTTGCTTGTCAAGCCTAACTGCTACGGGGTGAAGACCAGAGAAGATAGCTTGCTCGTCTCGGCCTTCGAAGCACCGCAGATGTAATCATAGGAGATCAGATTAGGGACCAATGGTTTACGGCAACAAACCAGCCGCTGACCCAACTGATGGGTCGATTAGGCTGCATTTGCCATGTACTCCATCACTGAGGAGATCGGTTGCTTCGTCGGCAGG